TAAGAGAAATGAGAGGGGAGAGATAATGATTCTACCCTTTGTTCAAGTGTATGGATGGAAGAAAATGATGGGAAGAGGATAGTGATTGACTAGGTATGGTGGAATAGTGACTGGGGATGGTCAAGGAGTGGGTATGGGAGGCTGCTTGTGTTACACACTAAGGTAAAGTCAACACTCCACCTCAAATATCTCACACACTAGATTTTATTCTTAATTAAAGATTTCCATAAAAATGTGCATAGATTATGAAAATATGGGGCCTTATATGTCAAAATATAAGTTTGGGTGAAAATCCCGCGTTAAAATCACGAAAAATGGGCTTAAAACGGCAAAAAATATTGAAAACCGGGCAAAAGTTGCCAATTTCCAAAATTCTGTGCCGGAGGCTCGGTCCCAGCCCTTAGAACCGAAAATTGATGGGGGAAACCGAGAGTAAGGTTCGGTCATTGAGGAGGAACCGAGAGAAGGGAAGGAATAACCGAAGGTACGAAGAAAGGGACAGAAGAGAAGGCGAGGCTCAGTCTCGGTGGCTCCCTGTGAGGTTCAGCTTCTATTGCTTCTGTGAGGTTTGGCTTCTGCTGCTTCTCGGTTCTATGAGGAGGCTCGGTTCAGGAGGGGCCGGTTCAGGGGGAGTTCGGCTCCTAAGAGGGTTCGGCTCCTTAAAGTTGTTTTTCACATAAACTTCCGTTTTCAAGTGATTTTTGACCAAGTTAAGGGTCGGGATGACCCGGATGACTATAAAAAAAGTTGAGAGAGATTTGGGAGAGGTTTCACATACATTGAGATATTTGGGAGAGATTTCACATACTTAGAGAGATTTGGGAGAGATTTGTTTTGTGACCTTTTTGAGTGTTGGCTTTGTAACGCAAGGTCCGCAAACCCCGTTTAGCCATGTTTAAGAGTCTTACACCCCCCGAAGTGTAATAGCATTTTATCGCATTGCTACCTCACTTACCCCGATTAGGGTTTAAGAAATCTAAAAATACAAACTTTTCAAGTGATGATTTCTTATTAAAATAGTGAGTTGAAAAATAAATACATAACGTAAACCCTAGTATACTAGGGTTAGTCAAGTTGGCCGGTTTGAATTTATTTGAATTTGAATTGGTCAGAATTCGACGGTTATCACACCGGGAAAAGCTAATGTTGTAGCTGATGCTCTGATCTGTAGGGCAGAGAGTGCCCCAATTCGTGACGTTTGTATGAGGTTGACGGTGATGACTTCGGTGTTGGACACCATTCGGGAGGCCCATGCAAAGGCCGTGAGACCGAAGAATCACAAGAGATTGCGGGTGATTGGGCAGGTAACTGAGTTCGTTACCGATAAACGAGGGCTTTTGACCTTTTAGGGTCGGATTTGGGTGTTGTTTGCAGGAGGGGCTCGTACCATTCTGATGGAGGAGGCGCACAGGTCGAGGTTCTCGATCCATCCTGGGGCCACTAAGATATATTTGGATCTGAAGAAAGATTATTGGTGGCCATGTATGAAGAGGGATGTTACATGGTTTGTTGAGAGGTGCTTGGCATGTCGTAGGGTTAAGGCTGAGCACTAACGTCCGCACAAAAAGTTGCAGCTACTTGAGGTTCCCCAATCGAAGTGGGAACAAATTTCCATGGATTTTATCACCAAATTTCCATGGACCGCGAGGGGTGTAGATGCAATTTGGGTAATTGTCGACCAGCTGACGAAGAGCGCTCACTTCCTTGCTATTAGTGAGGGCTCCTCTACGGAGAGACTGGAAGAGCTGTATGTGAGGGAGGTATCGCGATATGGTGTACCGATATCGATTGTGTCAGATCGAGATGTACATTTCTCTTCCAAGTTCTGGAAGAAGTTCCTCGAGGAGTTGGGCACGCGCCTGCATTTCAGTACCGCTTACTACCCACAGACGGACGGGCAGAGTGAGAGGACGATTCAGACGCTCGAGGACATGCTTCGGGCATGCGTGTTGGGCTTCGGAGGCAGTTGGGACACGTACTTGCCGTTGTCTGAGTTTTCCTATAACAACAACCACCATTCGAGTATTGGTATGCCTCCCTTCAAGTTGTGGTATGGGAGGAGGTGTCAGACTCCGATTTGCTTGGGAGAGGTAGGGAAGCGCATGATGGGCAGCACTGAGATAATGCTTCAGACGACCGAGCAGATACAACAGGTTAGATAGAGGTTGTTTACAGCCTAGAGTCACAAGAAGAGTTATGCAGATAGGTGACGATCCGAGCTTGAGTTCCAGGTAGGAGACTTCGTACTCCTGAAGGTGTCTCCTTGGAAAGGAGTGATCCGATTCAGGAAGAGGGGCAAGCTGGAGCCCCGGTACATTGGGTCGTTCAAGGTGACTGTGAGGGTGGATAGGGTAGCGTATCGGCTGGAGCTACCTGCGGAGTTTATACAGATTCATGATACCTTCCACATGTCTCAGTTGAGGAAGTGTATAGCCGACGAGTCGATGGTGGTTCCACTGGAGGATATTCAGGTAGATGCGAGCCTAAATTATGCTGAGAAACCGATCGCAATCCTGGATCGGAAGATCAAGGTTCTGAGGAACAAGGAGGTGCCTCTGGTTCAGGTCCATTGGTAGCATCGAAGAGGGTCCGAGCTGACTTAGGAGCCGGAGTTGGAAATGCACAAACAGCACCCCGAGTTGTTTGCTGAGCGAGACTTCGAGGACGAAGTCTGATTCTAGTGGGGGAGAATTGTAACATCCGGATTCCTAGGTATTCTATATTGTTTATTTATTTTGAGTTAGAGAGAAGGACTCGACGAGTTAGCGCTTAGACTCGTAGAGTAGGATCACGTTTTGCTGACTGGATTAATGAATGGACTTGGCGAGTTAGTATGGTGACTCGACGAGTCTGTGCTTGAGGAAGAAACCCTAAATCTCGCGGCCTATGCCCTATTTAAAGGCCTTTATGGCTTTCATTTGTAGCCACTTCACCCCTGAGAAACCCTAGAGAGCAGAGAGAAAGCTTGTAGTGCAAGAGGAGGGCTAATTCATCATTCTTTGGTGTGTTTTAGCATAGGGAAGGAAGGATTTCGAGCTAGGCTGATTTGTGGTGCTCAAATCTTCCATCATTTCGTTCAGAGCTGCTGTGAGAGGTAAGGATTCATGTCCATCTTCATTTGAGTAATAGATTTCATGTATCTACGGTTTCTTCTCTTCTCTTTTGGTAGAAATCTAGTGTGTGTGATGTCCCCTTGTGAGAATATTATCAAATCTGGACCTTGACAGGTCTAGAGTGTCCCCATCCTTCAGCTTTATGCAATCCTTTATGAGTTTTGGGGCCTAGGTTATCATATTAAGGGTTATTTTGGCATATAGAGATGATAGTGTGATGCATGGGCCTAAAGTTCGAACCTTTACGTGATTATCATGCTTGGGAATGTCAGATCTATAGGTTAGAGAAACAGATCTGACCTTAGATGGTCATTTGAGTGTGAGCATGGAAGCAACTCGCCGAGTTCATAAGTGGACTCGACGAGTCGAGTCGGGGTTTCCCCGTGATTCGTGCCAGGCGTGACCCGTCAAGTGAAGGGATGACTCGACGTGCCAAGTGGGGCTAGAAGGATTCAGAGGACCCGTATGGACTCGCCGAGTCACCCATGTGTGCTTGACGAGTCGGGTCAAAGTTGACTGTTGACTTTAGTTGACCTTAGGGTTTTGGTCAAGGCTGATTCAAGAGAATTCAGGGAGGGGTAGAATGGTCTTCTACCCAAACCTTAGGGACGAGACTATGAGAGAGTATTGATCGGGAATGTTATTTGAATGATAGGAGGAGGCTACGTCGGGACGTTGAGCACGAGAATTTTATCCGACTTCATTCGAGGTAAGTCTTGTCACTATACATTACCTAGAGTGGTATCTATATGCAGATCGGAGGGTCTTGTGTGCTATGTGTATGTATGAGATTATGTGCATTGTGATATATGTATGTTGTGTATTGTATAGACCGGACCGGAGGGTCCAACGATACAGACCGGACCGAAGGGTCCAACAAGCTATGACCGGACCAGAGGGTCCAACGAGCTATGGGATCGGAGAGTCCCGCTGAGACACATCGAACACAGGATCGTACTGTAGCCTCGAGTGGCGTATGTGTTGTATGTGGTATTTTGGGGAACTCACTAAGCATTTATATTTACAGTTGTGTTATTTGTTTATGGTACTAGCGAGGATCGCGAGAAGTCGCCAACATGATTCGTACACACTCATAGAGATTATGTTTTGAGATTCTGGGAAATTGTTTTGTGATGATGACATTGGATACATTATGTTTTGATATTGTTGTATGATTAAAAGTATGAATTAAAAATGAAAAATTATTTTTGGAAATTTACGTTGTTATATATAATGTTTTTCCTATGAAATCTAGCAAATACCGATAACTAGATCTATATAAACCATTACAACCGGTGAATGTTATGGAGTCACCTCGAAGCCAACAGTCAAAGCCACTACATGGAAAATATTAAAACACAACTATTTCTTTCCTTCCTCTTTCTAGTTTAGATCTCGTTTATCCGAAAACATCAAACTTCCATCACAATGTATAATTGAACCACCAACTAAGCGACATAATAGTGATCACATGATATGAAACACTCCATAATGGGGTTAACCGAGGTTCGAATCTAACAATCTTAATTATAGTGGTGACAGTTAACCCAGGTTCGAATCTAACCGTCTTAATTATAGTGGTGACGTATATTTTGTACAATTGTATCAAATAGCATAACAAATCATGTGCAAGATGTATGTCATGACATTCATGTTCATATCATTTGGATTGATTTAGCATAATCACTTCATCGATGGAAGATTAGATTTGACACCACTTCTTGAAGTTATCGTTGCACGTTTATTAATTCGGAAGAATCCATCCATTTGTTATACATACCAAATAATAATGGTTATTTATTTTCAACGCGTTTGGAAGAAATATGCATTTTTATTCTATGAATCTAGCAATTGTAACTATTGCTAGTTATTTGAAAACATACACATCCATAACACACCACCATATAAAATAGTACTATGAGTTCTTGCCACTCATGAAGTAGTAAGTAGCAAACAAGACTCTAGTTAATTCGTGTAAACACCAACAAAATCCGAGTGACTCGAGCCCACATATAGTGCATCATTGCTCTCCTGAACCACATTATGAGCCATGTTCAAGAACTGGGGAAGGGGCACGGTTTGGAGAACCGTTGCAGACCCATTAACCCTTAACCCATGAGGTTCACTCAACATCGGGGACTCTTGAACCTGTTTCTCTACTGCCACCCAAAACTCTCCATCATTTGCAGCTCTTTTAATATTTTTTGGGCTCCCACAATCAGTTAGGAATACCTCATTTGTGTCTTTTTTGGGTCCCTGAAGCCAATGCCTTTGGATTTGATTGTTCATGTACTCTGGAACTAAAACATATTTTCTATCACTACTAACCGAAGGACCACCTACTCCTGAGAGCCCCGTTAACAAAACGGTTACCCGTTGAGTTCTTGGATCGTATTTCAAGAGCCTTCCAGTTGAGTCGGGCTTAAACCCTGGTTTTGTCATGTCTCTGCACAACATGCAATTTATGTCAAAAGTATATTGATTAGTAACGACTTAAAGAAAAAATTAAAGTCTCAATGGTTAAATCAGAAAACATTTTTTTCGGTTGTTAAAATGAAAACAAAGTCCATAAACATTGCTTTCAGAAAATTTACCTTATGCCATAAGTCAAACTAGCATCAGTCATATAAACGTTTCCAGTGTATGACTCCACATCGATACCAGAAAAGTACTTGTAACCACCCGAAAGTTGAGTTGCAAGGCCACCATTGAATCCCACAACAAGGAGACCAAAAAAAGCATCGGTGATATAAAGATCACTCGTTTTATAGTTGAAGCTAAGAGCCACTGGTCTCCCACATATTGCTCCTAATTTCAGATCATTTGTCCCATCACACAATTTCTTTGTCCTGAATGAATAAATCATAATTTATCAATGCACAATATTTACTATAAGCTACTCATGCTATATGTGCTAACTGAAAGTGAAAGCTGCGGCAAAATAAGGAAACAAAGTAGCACAACCTGTTAGGTGAAGTGAAGGCAAAATCAAGGAAGCCAGTAGTGGGGCCTTGCCATTTAAGGATTCTACCATCTGCAACTGCAACATACGGACCTTCACCTCCACGATCAAAGACAGCAGATTCAGGACCTGTGACACTTGGTGGCAATACAAGTTTTTTGAAAGTAGTATACTCATTGGATAACACATTTCCCAGAAGCAAGAACCAAACAATCAGATCGACAAGAAGCAGGCTGCAACTTGTTTTCATTGCTACCATGTATATAAACTATAAACACTCGTTTATTTTCTTGTCAATTGCAATGCAATTTGCTTTAAGTTCTTCTGATATGTACATGCTATTTATACAAATTTAAGCTCTGAACTAGCTGACATACACATACTGTAACAACTTGTCACAATTGACCATGGCTTCTCCATTTTGGAGATAAAGATGGTTGCTTAAACTTGGTGTAAAGCTAGCCGACTTCTGTATTGGGAGACTATATATGAACGCTTTCTTGCATGGAATTGCTTAGTCAACAGTTCGTTATCCTTCTCTTTTCTAACAATTGTTTATTCTCCATTCTCTTTTATATATTAATACTAGTGGAATGTCACTACGTGACATAAAAATAGAATTATATACTTAAGATAATGATATATATATATATATATATATATATATATATATATATATATATATATATATATATATATATATATATATATATATATATATATATATATATATATATATATATATATATATATATATATATATATATATATATATATATATATATATATATAGTGGCGTGGGTGGAGCTAGAAATTTTTATATGTGGTACAAAAATTATCAATAAATATTGTATGTAGTTATCATATTCGAGGCATTAAAAAATATGATATAATCTCTTTAGGTGGGGGTACAATAACATAGAACATGTTTACAAATAATTTTTTTTATATACATAAAACAATTTTTTGGGGTGCTGTAGTACCTCCAACCCCCCATCTGGCTCCGCCACTCTGTGTGTGTGTGTGTATATATATATATATATATATATATATATATATATATATATATATATATATATACTAGTCGTCTACCCGCGCAAAGCGGCGACAGAGATAATTGGCTTTCGGCATATAAAAATCGGCGGATAATTTGTTTCGGAAAACTTTCAATGTAATAATGCATGACATGTTATACATTATAAATCGCAAACACTTCTTTTACACCATATTTGATGTATCGACTTCATCACCTTTGAATTTTTCGTTAGCTTTCACTAACATTTTTATACTGTCATGTAAGATCCCTCTACACAATGCAACAAAAAATTTGTCATGTAAAAATACTGGTTCTGAAAGATAATTACGTACATTTGAATTTGTTTCTCCCTAAGATTTGTTGATTTTCATCGCAATTTGAAATGTAGAGGCGACGATTAGTTTTCATTTTGGCAATTTGAAGATTGAGTTTCTTTCAACAACAATGTTTTTGGTTTAATACATTAAATATTTTTTTTGTTATAAAAAAAATATGTTATATATATATATATATATATATATATATATATATATATATATATATATATATATAAAATTTCGTAAAGTGATATTGTTACGAAAATATTAACAAAAAACAAACAAATAATTTCCTTAAACTACCTGTTATGGAGTCATATATGGAAAAATTTTCCTTGGAAATCCCCACGGGAGCTGGGTTTGCTCTGTCAAGGAGCTCGAACCTGGGGTGCGCGTTTAAATATTATAAGTACCCTTCCACTTAATTTATTTGCCGTTTCAAATAAATTTATTTTAAGATTTAACAAAATTCAATAACGATAAATTGAATTTATATATTTTTTAATGAATTGAAGTTGTACATGAAGTTTCCGTATCTTGATTTATCTTGGTTTATATATAAAGATATTAAACCAAACTTAAACATTTGATTTTTTAAAACCAAATAAATCGCTGAGATTTTAGATATTAATTTTTACGTAAGTTAGTTACATCTCTAGTTATTTATCTATATTTTTATATTTTAAGTAAAAACAAAAGTTTATTGTTTTATTTATCTATATAAAATGATAATGTATTAAACAATCATTATTTGGATTTCATCTATTTATGTCCAAGATATTATTTAAAATAAAACTGGAATTTTAACACATTATACCTAAAATATGTGTATTGAATGATAAGCATAAATTGATTGTACATGATGTAATTGGTGTGGTACCTCTTAAATTTCAAGAAATGTCTAAAATGCTTTATATATATATATATATATATATATATATATATATATATATATATATTATATATATATATATATATATATATATATATATATATATATATATATAAGTAACCAACACATGATAATTAATTATAAAATAATATTTGTTTAACTAAATTAAAAATATAAAACATTTGAAAGTATATAGAAGGTTGAATGCAATTAATTTTTTTTCTCGAACATGAGTATGTCAGGTTTGGAGTTGAAGACATGAATTAGTTAAAATGATTGTGACAACCCAAACTATTTGGACCAGACAAGGTCTAAATTGTATCCTATTGTAAAACGAACCTCGAAAACCATGAAAGCATAAGTGCATGTATAAGGAAGTATACACTTTGGAAGTTACACATAAGGTAATCTCATAGAAAAGTAAACAAGTTAAGCAAGACGAAGTAGGGTAAATAAATCGTGAATTCAATCTACAATGCAATCATACAAGGATCACATGGTGTAGACACAAGAGCTTGTAATTGTGTCACAATTTGGACACTTGAATTATAAGGGCAATATATTTGAGTTTACTATTAGCTAAGGCCATAAACTCTTCCATAGGACCTACCTAAGACCATGAACTCAATCCAATAAAGCACATTCTCTGAGAACACCTAAAGGAATCTAGACTGTGACCACCCTTTATGGAACCCCTTTGGCCGTAAACTACTTCATGGAACCTTCGCTAGGACGTGAACATCATCCTAGGAGGAATCTAGGGCGTAAACTCCTTTGGTGGGCCATCTTGTGGGCGTAAACTGTTGCATTAGGTGTCTAAGTTCATAGCTATTCCTGGAATGTACTTGACCCGGTTGGCATGGTCAATTTGGGTTGCATGGCATTACAACACTTGGATAGACTAAATGAGAGAAATAACACTTAAGGTTTATTAATATATTATAAGTTCTAATATATTAATAATATTATTTAATTAGTTTTGATCAAAAATTAATTAAGTGATCAAAAGGAGACTAATTAAATATATGGGGTTAATTGTGTAAATCATCTATTCTTGTATAGTTGGGCTAATGGTCCATGGTCTTTATGGATTGGGTTAAAACCCATAAGGTGATCCATAGATAGTCCATAGAGGTTACAAACCCATGGATCATGGAATATGGAAAGCCATGACAATTAGGGTTTACATGGTGTAACACTACTTGTGACACAACTATATAAAGACCCCATGTTAACCAAAATCGGCAACTACAAGCAAGAAAGAGAGGGCTAGCCGATTTTGAGGTGTAAGTATACTTCTCTCAAAGTTATTCTAAGTGTTGTGGTGTTGTGTGAGACATTTAAGGCATCACACTTGGGGTGCTAGGTTCACAAGTTTTTCAAGGAACCCAAGCAACTAAAAGGTATGCTCTTCTACTAGAAATTATGCTTTAAAGTTCCCCATGTCATGCTAGTTCAGTTAAGAATCTTGGAAAATCATTTTTGCATGTATCTTAGTAAAATATAGATCTAAGGTTTTTAGGGTTGCATGTACACCTTAGGAGTGTTAGAATGCTCAAAACCCTTCAGTGGTATCAGAGCCTAGGCTTGTTTATTTGATACTTGATGCAAACTTGTTAAAAAAATTGACAAAACTGTTTTATGCTTGGGTGAACTCGCCGAGTCCATGAGGGGACTCGACGAGTCTATGCCTTTCTTTAACCAACTCGGCGAGTCAGTTCGTGCAATCGACGAGTTAGCTTGTTAGAGTGCAGTTTTTCGACTTTTGTTGCTGGAAATGAACTAGAAACATTACCCTAAACTATTTTGGTGTTCTAAAACTTGTTTTAGATGGTGTAATGGTTATGCAAATCCAATTTCAATGGCTAATATCAAAATTTCAAGTTTTCTATGGTTTATTTATGATTCTTGAAACTGTTGATTTGAACATTCATGAACTTATGAGTTTAGAAGATCATAGGAATTATTTGTAACTTGCTTGGTAGTTTAATTCTTGATCTTGATGTGTTTTAATGGAATTCATAATTTGTGCTCAAGTTATAGATTACCAAAAGTCACACTTTTAATATCCATTATTAAACACATAGGTTACATAAAATGAAAAGTCTCTCATTTTAATAAACCGTTAACTCATAAGTTATGAAAGATGAATAGTTTTGAAAGTTATAAAACTTGCCCTCAAGTTTTGGAACATGTAAAGTCTCTTTAAAAGTTTTAGTTCCAACCCCTAGAATTTTAAAAGTTAAAATTCAACCCTTATACTTTATAATATTATAAGTTAATATATATATATATATATATATATATATATATATATACATAATATATATATATATATATATATATATATATATATATATAAAGAACTAAAAGTCGTTTTACCATTAGTAGGTCTCATTCATGAAGTCGGTCTATAAGGGGGGGGGGGGGGGTATAAGGTTGTTTCCTATAAAATGGCAACTTAATCGGTGTCCACTCTCACCCACCGTTTCCTTGACTGGTGGAGGGTCGTTAGCCGAACGGGTAGGACAATGACTTTAAATCCTCATTAAAAGTATGATGAAAGTAAAGTAACTAAATGTTTTTCAAATTCCCAATCTTAGTTACTTTAGGAAAATGTGAATAAGGTGCTAACCCATGATATTACACTTTCAACTTTGTTTAAGTCGTCAGTGGAGCATGTGTAGTTAATCGACACACTAACTTGGACTTAACAAGGCAGGCAAATGGTGAGTTAAGGTTTATCATAGGTTGGTGGAGCGTGTGTTGTTAACTGGCACATCGATTGAGTGATAAACATTAAGTGTAACAAGTAATTCGCATGGTTACTTCACACCTTGTTTTGTGATCTTCGGCATCCAAGTCACAAAACTTGAAGGGCACAGTCGAGATTGAAACGTGCCATTAAAAAGTTTACTGAATCTCAAAGATTCTAGAAGTTTTAAAACCAATTAAAACCTAATAATTTATTTCAGTTTTCATGGAAGAATTTGGTGAATCGTCATTCACCTTCCTTCAAATATTTTGTAGCTTGGATTACGACATCCCTTTTCTAAGT